TCAAACTACTATGTAATATATCAATATATAAAAGGTAAGCAATCTAAATTGATGCTTAGGAAATGTTTTTGGGCCTATGCACACACACACAGTGTTATATATGAGACTAAATTCAGACCTCAGTTTATACATATGTTATTTATGAGACTAAAGTTACAGGGACCGCGCTTTAAACTGTTATTAATGAGGACTAAAGTTACATACTATCAGCCTTTAAACATTGCTTATTTGTGAGACCTAAAGTTACAGACCCGAGCTTTAAACATGTTTATTAATGAGACTAAAGTTACAGACCTCAGCTTTAAAACGTTCTTAATGAGCCTAAAGTTACAACCCCAGCATTTAAACCTGTGTTTTTATGCAGACTAAAGTTACAGACCTCCGCTTTAAACTGTGTTATTTATGAGGGACTCAACTGTACCAGTTCCTCAACTATAAACATGTTATTTATCAGGAACTACGTTACAGACCTCGCCTTTAAGCATGTTATTTATGAGACTAAAGAAAGACCGTAGCTATTTTAAACATGTTAAAAACCCAAACACCTTGTTACCCTGTAAAATGGATTAGGTCAACCAATGGCCATTGGTCGTTTGGGCCACGTGACTCGCGTTTCTACCCCGGAAAAGTGGACTCGCGGACTTTGCCCTGCCGCCTTCGGCTAGCAGCAGCAGCAGAGCAGAGTGACTGTGATGGAGCGCGGCGGTTTTGCAACTTTATTCACTGATCCGCGGGTACAAACAACCGTGTTGACATGATTCAAATATACCCATCATTTCTAAAAGCTTTACTCTTAGATGTATTGTGCTGTGGTGTTGGTTTCCCAAAAACCCCGGTTAGCTTACCGTGTATTTTGCTATTAAGTTCGTGGATTATACTCCGTAAACCGCAAACAGCTGGAGAGATGCAGCTATCACCGTAATCGCAGTAATAAGTGATTCTGTTTACCGGTAAATATCAACCTCCGCGGCGAACGTCATTACCCGCCGACTGCGAGGATATCCCGCTCATTTTTTTTCAGGAAGAGTCCAGACTATCGGTGGCCCCACTCTGCTCAATATTCGTCAACTTTATTAATTCATATCTAGGAAATAAAGGAATCTTCAGAACATTCCACACATTTATGGGATTCTATGAATAAAATATGTCTTATTGATTCGTTGGTTGGTTAGCTTATATTCATGATATTTGCTGCTCAGTAAATCAAATGAACTAAGTGAGTAAGACCGCCGACCTCTTTTTCACCACACGCGTTGCCTCAGGCGCAGCGTTTCCCTGTGGTCTTGCCTTGCTAATTTAAAAGTAATGAGGCCCTGCTTCCTGGCCTCTGGCTGTGAGGCCCACCACCGTCATCAGTCTCGGTGCTGCCTCTGTGTAGATCACACGTCTGTCTCGGACTGGGTGTTCCTCGAGGCTTTAAGGGGGTGTAGGAAGGAGCGATCCTGTTTGTCCCGCATGTTTTTTTGTTTAACGCATCCTGCGCCGAATTGCAAATTGTTACTCAGGGGACTTCCCATGCATACCGTAGGCGCACATATATAATAATATATAGGGATCAGGAGCTTTCTGTCGACGACCCACACGCACCATGACATGGATCATATTTCTTGAGCATCCCAACCCGCCCGAAACCAGCGGGACCCGAGGGTGGACTGCGGGTTTCGGGCCGGACACCCGCGCACCTCGCATGTCCTGTTAGGGCTGCAGGAGCATTTGTTCCTCCATTATTTTAATGGGACTTTGGTCCATGCACACTGTAAAAAAGATAAAGTTAGTTCACTCAAAATTTCCAAAGCAACCAGGCTGCGCAAGGTTTTTGAGTTGAAGGCATTAATTAATTCTTCATAGTTTTGAAAGAAACACACTTATTATGTTGTGACAGTTATGTTTCCAAGTTTGCCACTAAGTGTTTTAAATTCATTACTGGAAATTTCAAGTCTGTAAAACTTATTTTTTTAAGTTCAGATTACTGTCCCTACAATAACTTACCTAATTTGTGTTTAAATTTAGCCCCACCATTTAAAGATCCTGATGTTTATTTTATTATTGCGTTTCAAGGACCAGGTCCCTTGGGTAGGGGAAAACCGGAGCACCCGGAGGAAACCTATGCAGACACGAGAACATGCCAATTCCCACACAGAAAGGCCTGTCCGACCGGGATTCGAACCCAGGACTTGTGTCAGAAGCGACGAGGCTATCCACTCAGCACCGTGCCGCACACCACTGTGACCAGGCGGGGACCTTCTGTTTCTAAGACTGAGCCAGAAATTATTACGGGCTACTTTGGCTTGGCCCAGTCGTTTAGGTTGGTAAACAATAAATACAGTGATTTTTGTGGTCAAATTAGTTTGTTCCAAAATGTTGAATTGAGCTGGTTGCCATAACACCTATTTAAATAGCGCAAACGCAGATAAGTGACCTCACTATAGCTCGCGTGAACTGTAAAACACGACAACTCAAAAATTGTTCACCTTACTCAGATTTTTGCATTCACTGACAATAAAATTTCCAGTTGGAATGGAACTATCTGTGAGCCACTTGAACTTTCAGAAGTTCATACAACTTCAAAAGTCAAATCACTTAATATATCAAATAAGATGAACTTTTCATCAGAAACTTCAGGAAAGTGAGTTGACGAAAATTAGACGCATAGGCAGGGATCTTTGCACACCAGAGGCAACTTGGCAAGTTTTTATTCACAACAGGTGGTGATTCAGGCAGAAACAATAAAACAGGGGGAAACAGATATCTGGTTATATTGGCTCGTCAGTCAGCCTAAAACAACGGATACACAAACGTGCAGATATACAATCAAAGACCTTGTGTGTTTGTACTTCATATTTTCTCTTGTTTTTGTTACTACTATACAGGCCCATGGCTCTTCTTTGTTCAAAAGTTCCAAACTGGCAATTGTATTGTCAGTGAATGCAAAAATTCTTAGTAAGGTGAACCAATTTTGAGTTGTATTTTTTACAGTCCAGCACCAGAAGTGCATTAATGTGAGTTTATAACCACATTATTTAAAAGATATAAATGCAGAGCTTAATATATATATGATTCGCAGTTTGCGTGTTTCGTCTCAGACATTTTCTTGATGCGCAAATTCAATTTTTTTTAAACCTTGGATTGCCGAGTGTGGAACCATGTTTATTATTGTCCAAAATCTAGAATATCATGCGTGTTTTGGCGTGGTTTTGTTGTGCCGCAAGGTTGATATGAATAGTTTGCTAGACTGTAGTAACTTGTAAAACGATATTGCTTTAATACAAAAGTTATGATGGGTGGGAAACTTTCTTTTATCCGTGTTTTACAATATAATGGAGTTGGCTGATGACTGCTGCCTTAGTTTTTAAAACTAGCAAACAAGCGAAATTGGCCCCTGTTTTTGAAAAGACAAGGAAGGTTGGCTTGCTAACATTTGCATGTATTGATTTGCAAAATTTAGGTAAATGACTAATAACAGCAGGGGGCCTTGGGTGCGGCTACTTGTGTTATTGGGTGGGGGAGGGAGAGCTGCTGCTGTCCCGTGATTTTTAGCTGTGGTATTAAAAACCCTGAAGGAGTAGCTTGTTTTCCTATCTGGACATAGCACATTTAATGAGCTCTACGTTGTCTGATTGTCTTTGCAGGTCTTCTCGTGCTTCGTCTCATAATGACGCTTAACACCTTGAGGTTCTGCACACAACATTTATCACAGCATAAAGTGGCACACAGGCACTCGTCCTTCTACCAAACACAAAACCAAACTTTGTGTCCAGCTGGACTGGAATGGCCTAGTTTTGCCTTTTCGCAGCCGGCGAGTTGCCCATTGTTTACATATCTCTATCACTATCATGTAATCTGTGCATTTCATTTCGGAACGCCGACGAAGACAGCTTGGAGAGGGTTGGCTAATCACGTATGTTCCTGAGTGCCGGCAGGTAAAAGCGCACGGACAGGGCAGATGCTTTTTAATAGCCATAAAATGGCCCCCATCAACTACTTTCAAAGCTGAAAAACAGTAGCCTACACATTTAAAACATAAAAACAAGTGTTATGTTGAGGGAACAAATCAAATGATCAGATGAATATAGCCAGACAGACAGTGGCACGTCGCGGTGAGGATTGTGATTAGGGGAGGAGGCACTGACTTTAAATGTCAGATTTACTATCCTTATTATAATAAAATTGCATTTAATCACCGATTGCAATAACCATTCACAAAACTTCCCATGCTGTAAAGATGAGAGAACTAGGCTTTCTTTTACATAATCTCACAACCAATTCTAGTTGCTGACCTCTCCTGCTCCTCCCCTCCAGCTCAAACAACATCTTTTAGAAGAACAGTGTGCGAGGACGTGAGCAGAGGAGCGAGACGGTGAGCAGAGAGGCGAGAGGACTTGGCAGAGAGAGAGAGGCGTGGCAGAGGAGAGAGCGCGAGAGAGACGTTGAGCCAGAGACGAGGAGGAGACAGTGAGCACGAGAGAGGAGCGACGTGAGCAGGAGAGAGAGAGACGTAGAGCAAGAGAGAGAGCAGAGTGAGACGTGAGCAGAGAGAGAGAAGGAGACGTGAGCAGAGAGAGAGACTACGCGGGGGGGAGAGCAGAGAGAGAAGAGAGAGATGGTGAGCAGAGCAGAGAGAAGACGTGAGCGAGAGAGAGAGGACCCCGTGAGCAGGGAGAGAGAGAGCAGAGAGAGAGTGGAGGCAGAGAGAGAGGCGCGAGCAGTGAGAGAGACGTGAGCAGAGCGTGATAGAGACGTGCGCTGAGAGAGACGTGAAGAGAGAGAGAGAGACGCGAGAGCAGAGAGAGACGTGAGCAGAGAGAGGAGACGCGGAGCAGAGAAAGCAGAGCAGAGAGAGACGACGTGAGCAGAGAGAGAGAGAGACGGCGAGCAGGGAGCAGACAAGCTGCAACGGGTTTGCTCTCGTCACTTTGTTTACTCACCGAGCCTCGCAACATTGGTCGTCCCCTGCATGGTCGCGGCTCCTCTTCCACATCACATTTAGGGGGCTGTGCGCCATGGTCGCTGTGTCTCCACCCCCGCTTCGACCGCGGGGCCTCTCCTGCGACCGCTGCCGCTCGTCTCCCCGTGGCCGCTAGCTGCTCGCGGGCCAGGGCGTGACAGGCTCCGGCGCACATTCCTGCCGCGTCCATCACCGGAACGGTACTTTTCTGTCGCCGGCCCGTTGTCTGGCCGGCGCTGTCCCACGCCTTCTCCATGCTCCACTCACGGGACAGTGTCAGTTTCGTTGTTTTTCCGCACTACCTTGAACTGTACTGAACAGGCGGTGTGCAGTTAATCCCGCGAATTGGCTCAGCAGGCCGGGTTTTTAAACCGCGATGAGCAATTGCTCTCCAGCGTCTTTCATATTTAAACATCTGCACTGGCATTTAGACCTGACCGTTTGCTCCATGTGACCGCACATTTTAATCACTGTGTTGGCCTTCTGGCTTGTCCCGTATTACTCATGGCCTGAACATCTCTGCATCACTGACGCAGTGACCTCCCCAGGCTGTCCGATTTTAACTATGGACTGGAACATTTACCCACTGCATTGACCTTCAGGCTGTCAAGTTGTAACCAGGGACTATGAACATTTTGTCGACTGCATGTGGCCTTCGCTCCTGTCCTAATTGACCGTGGACTGTAAGTTTGTCGCCCACTGCATTGCTTCCGGCGCCGGTCCCGTGTCTGATGAGCTGCGCTGATTGGTCCGGAGCGCGGCCCGAGCCCCTCTGTGCTGTTTGTTTGCCCCTTGCTTTTGGCCCTCACGCCACAGCTTCAACGCCACACGTCAACGCCACCACGCGTTCGACGCCAGTCCTATACCCTTCGACGGCCCCACAATCAACGCTTCGACGCCCCACGCGTCGACGGCCCCACGCTTCGACGACACCACGCTGTCGACGCACGCCACGCTTCGACGGCCCCACACTAGGACGACGCCACGCTAGATTGCGACGGCCCCCACGTGGGTGGCCCCACGCATCGACGACTGGCCACGCTGTCAAACGCCACGCTATCGACCGCCACGCGTCGACCGCCAGCCACGCTTCAACGGCCCCACGTGTGGGTGGCCCCACGCGTCGACGACCGCCACGTGGGTGCCCCGCACGCCTCCGACGAACGCCACGTGGGTGGCCCCCACGCTCTCCGACGACGCCCCGTGGGTGCCCCGCGCTTCAACGACGCCCCGTGGGTGGCCACCGAACGCATCAGACGACGCCACGCGTGGAGCCTCACCGCTCAAAAACGGGCCACGGTGGGGTGGACCCCATGCTTCGAACGACGCCACGTGGGTGGCCCCACGCTCTCGACGACGCCACGGGTGACGCCCACGTGGGTGTGCCCCACGCTTCGACGACGCGCGACGTGGGGGCGCCACCACGCTTTTGACGACGCGACCGTGGGTGCCCCACGCTCCTCTTCGACGACGCGACGATGGGTGGCCCCAGACTGAAGACGTGGTCTGACTGAAGACGTGGTCTGATACTGCCCGTTGGTCCTTTTCACTCGAGTGATAGTGGTTCGAGGTTTCTCTTTTCAGCTTCGCAGGAACGTGATGCCGCAACGCCGCACCAAAGCTCTGCTACGACGCCGCGACGGTGGCCTGCTGCAACGCTGGCCTGCTAAGACTGCATGAGTACTGTTCGGCGTGGCCTTCAAACCTGGCCGACTCTCTTCCCCAGGCCGCACTCATTGGCTTTTGGTGTGCAGCACTGCCCGCCACGGTTTGCGTGCACTCTGAGTGGCTGTAGGCGGTGCTCCTTCTCATGTTCCCCAGGCATATTCTCTCCTGGTCTCCTGGTGCGGCTCCTGCCGCCGGGCCTGTCTCACGCTTCGCCTTACCTGACGCACCCTGGCCCTCATTCTGACCGGGCCCTTGTGCGTTGGTTTTTGGGGGTCCAGAGATCTCCTATCGAACATCAATCTTCCTGGGTAAGTGTACTTCATGAATCTCATTTTCACCTTCTAGTCTCCCCAAGTGGAATCATGTTCGAATATCAGCGCTCTAAACACCAGCAGTTCATCTTTCATTCAGCATTCTCCTTTCCCTCTCACTGCACACTCTCAGTCTCTGGACATCAGCATCGCGGGTACTGCTGTCACTGCCTCATCTACATCGGCATTAAATACATTCTCTAAAATCCACTTCGAGTCACACTGCTCCACCCTCATAAGAAGATCCTTAAAGGAGTATTGGCAATGGTCCTTGTTCTGTAGTTTAGGTCCTGGACGACTAGCCTGTTTGTCCGTGGAGTGGATCCCTCTCTCATGTAGGGTCTTCCGAAGGTTTCTCACTTTTTTCCCCACGGGGTTTTGTGAGTTTTCCTTGCCATGCAGGAGGGTCTGGACAGTTAGTGTCCAACTAGAAGGCCCGTGGTGATGATCCAGGATACTTTACATTCTACAACATGTATGGACATTTTATCAACATTCATAGACTATAATTACTCCTTAAACAATCCCTTGACGACCCCCTGGTCTGAACAAATTCAAAACCTGCGCTCCCTGCATGTAACCTCTCTTCCTTTCTCTACATCCGCCACTCCTTCCGGATAGAAGCAGCCACTTGGGCTGCTGCCCTGGGACTCCCTCAATCATCTCTCCAGGAGCTCGGTCCCCGGTTCTCTACCACATTCATCCGTTCTGGCAGCCCAGCGCCTCCTCTCATATAAGTACGTATGCATCTCCTGGTGGTGGCAACTCCTCATTCCAACATGCCGCGCACTCGAGCCGAGCTCGTGCGCGTGCCAACGCCTAGCGCTAGAGCCGAGCTCGCGCACAGACATTACGCCGCGCACTCGAGCCGAGCTTGTGCGCGTGCCAACGCCTAGCGCTAGAGCCGAGCTCGCGCCCGTACATTACGCCGCGCACTCGAGCCGAGCTCGTGCGCGTGCCAACGCCTAGCGCTAGAGCCGAGCTCGTGCACGGACATTACGCCGCGCACTCGAGCCGAGCTCGTGCGCGTGCCAACGCCTAGCGCTAGAGCCGAGCTCGCGCACAGACATTACGCCGCGCACTTGAGCCGAGCTTGTGCGCGTGCCAACGCCTAGCGCTAGAGCCGAGCTCGCGCCCGTACATTACGCCGCGCACTTGAGCCGAGCTCGTGCGCGTGCCAACGCCTAGCGCTAGAGCCGAGCTCGTGCACGGACATTACGCCGCGCACTCGAGCCGAGCTCGTGCGCGTGCCAACGCCTAGCGCTAGAGCCGAGCTCGCGCACGGAAACAGTCAGTCACACCATGCGCCTTCCATAAACGCAGCAACCAAGTCGTGGCAAACGCATCGCTAGCCAAGCTCTCTTTTTGGGGATCATGATCTGCACCCAGGCACAGATTTCTTCAGAGCACGGCCACAGCCGGGGCCTAAGCTCCAAACCAATAAACAAACTCAATCCATAAAATAAACAACTCTTAAACGCATCTCGTCTCTTGTAGTCTCTCCAGGTTGAACCAGTAGTATTGAAAAAGCAAACCTCATCTTCGAGAAAACAGCCATGTTAGAGTTATTAATATTGTACAAACCCTCTCTACACAATCACTCTTGTATTACCTGTCACCTTGTCGAAAGGCCAGATGGAGCAGAATCAGAACACTGTACTGAGTTGCCCTTTGGCCCTTGTGGTCGCAGAGCTGCAGCCCAGGGGTCTCTCTCAGCAGCACGGGCCACTCCGACAGAGGACATGACAGGACAGGGAGATGGTACAGCAGCATTTTCTCAACCTCCTCTGCGTCTGCCGATAAAACCACATATGATGAAAGAATTTACCACATCGAACGAAACTGAGGGCAGACAAGAAAGAATGGATATCTAATGTATATCTAATGGCACAATCCCTGAATCATCAACGAATGGCATTATAAAAAGCAAAAAAAACAATTAACTTAGATTTTAAAGATGCACATTGCAGGATAGAGTTGGGTGCCTTTTTTTCTAATTGATAGAAAGCAGAGATGATATGACGCAAAACTAGGGATAAAATACAAAGTCACAATAAAAAATAAATAAAATGATAACGATAACTAGAAATGGTACAATGGCGGAAGCCATTGTGAGTGGCTGCATAGATGTTGGAAGGGTTAGGGATGAAGAAGGAAGAGGAAGGGGAAGAAGGGAAGAAGAGGAAAGAAGAAGGAAGAGGAGGAAGAAGAAGAAGGGGAAGAAGAAGAGGAAGAAGGGGAAGAAGAGGAAGAAGGGGAAGAAGAGGAAGAAGGGGAAGAAGGGGAAGAAGGGGAAGAAGAGGAAGAAGGGGAAGAAGGGGAAGAAGAGGAAAAAGGGGAAGAAGAGGAAGAAGGGGAAGAACAGGAAGAGGAAGAAGGGGAAGAAGAGGAAAAAGGGGAAGAAGAGGAAAAAGGGGAAGAAGGGGAAGAAGAGGAAGAAGGGGAAGAAGAGGAAGAAGGGGAAGAAGAGGAAGAAGAGGAAGAAGAGGAAGAAGAGGCAGAAGGGGAAGAAGAGGAAGAAGGGGAAGAAGAGGAAAAAGGGGAAGAAGAGGAAGAAGAGGAAGAAGGGGAAGAAGAGGAAGAAGGGGAAGAAGGGGAAGAAGAGGAAGAAGGGGAAGAAGAGGAAGAAGGGGAAGAAGAGGAAGTAGGGAAGAAGGGGAAGAAGGGGAAGAAGAGGAAGAAGGGGAAGAAGAGGAAGAAGGGGAAGAAGGGGAAGAAGAGGAAGAAGGGGAAGAAGAGGAAGAAGGGGAAGAAGGGGAAGAAGAGGAAGAAGGGGAAGAACAGGAAGAGGAAGAAGGGGAAGAAGAGGAAGAAGGGGAAGAAGAGGAAGAAGGGGAAGAAGAGGAAAAAAGGGAAGAAGAGGAAGAAGGGGAAGAAGAGGAAAAAGGGGAAGAAGAGGAAGAATAGGAAGAAGGGGAAGAAGAGGAAGAAGGGGAAGAACAGGAAGAGGAAGAAGAGGAAGAAGGGGAAGAAGGGGAAGAAGAGAAATAAGAAGTGAAGAAGATGAAGTAAGAAGAATGTGTTGTAAAGTGCTGAATGTGTTGTAAGGTGTTGTAAAGTGCTAAATGTGTTGTAAGGTGTTGAATTTGTTGTTACGTGCTAAATGTGTTGAATTTGTTGTAAAGTGCTAAATGTGTTGAATTTGTTGTAAAGTGCTAAATGTGTTGTACGGTGTTGAATGTGTTGTAAAGTGCTGAATGTGTTGTAAAGTGCTAAATGTGTTGTAAGGTGTTGAATTTGTTGTTAAGTGCTAAATGTGTTGAATTTGTTGTAAAGTGCTAAATGTGTTGAATGTGTTGTAAAGTGCTAAATGTGTTGTAAGGTGTTGAATTTGTTGTAAGGTGCTAAATGTGTTGTAAGGTGTTGAATTTGTTGTAAGGTGCTAAATGTGTTGAATTTGTTGTAAAGTGCTAAATGTGTTGTAAGGTGTTGAATTTGTTGTAAAGTGCTAAATGTGTTGTAAGGTGTTGAATTTGTTGTAAAGTGCTAAATGTGTTGTAAGGTGCTGTAAGTGTTGTAAGGTGCTGTAAGTGTTGTAAGATGTTGTAATGTATTGTATCTGTGGTAATGAATTGTTAGTGTGGTAATGTGTTGTATGGGGAGTAATCTGTTGTACTGGTCCAATGTAAGTCTATGGGAAAAAGTGCTTGAACTTTTGTTAATATCTGAAAAAGTGCTAAAGGTGGAAGTGTGAAAAGTAATAGCAATAATGAGACGGTGAAGCCGGTCGTAACGATGTATAATTTGTTGAATTTGGTGAAAGCGTTGAAGAGTTGAAAAGTGCCAAAATCTGGCGGAAGTGGAAGAAGAAGAACTAGAAATGGTACAATGGCTGAAGCCATTGTGAGTGGCTGCATAGATGTTGGAAGGGTTAGGGATGAAGAAGGAAGAGGAAGGGGAAGAAGAAGGAAGAAGAAAGAAAAGGGAAGAAGAGGAAAGAAGAAGAAGGAAGAGGAGGAGGAAGAAGAAGAAGGGGAAGAAGGGGAAGAAGAAGAAGGGGAAGAAGGGGAAGAAGAGGAAGAAGGGGAAGATGAGGAAAGAAGAGGAAGAAGGGGAAGAAGGGGAAGAAGAGGAAGAAGGGGAAGAAGAGGAAGAAGTGAAGGGAAGAAGAAGAAGGAAGAAGTGAAGAAGATGAAGTAAGAAGAATGTGTTGTAAGGGGCTGAAAGTGTTGTAAAGTGCTGAATGTGTTGTAAGGTGTTGTAAAGTGCTAAATGTGTTGTAAAGTGCTGAATGTGTTGTAAAGTGCTGAATTTGTTGTAAAGTGCTGAATGTGTTGTAAAGTGCTAAATGTGTTGTAAAGTGCTGAATGTGTATTCAAGTGCTAAATGTGTTGTAAAGTGCTAAATGTGTTGTAAGGTGTTGAATTTGTTGTAAAGTGCTAAATGTGTTGTAAGGTATTGAATGTTTTGTAAAGTGCTAAATGTGTTGTAAGGTGTTGAATGTGTTGTAAAGTGCTAAATGTGTTGTAAGGTGTTGAATTTGTTGTAAAGTGCTAAATGTGTTGTAAGGTTTTGAATTTGTTGTAAAGTGCTAAATGTGTTGTAAGGTGTTGAATTTGTGTTAAAGTGCTAAATGTGTTGTAAGGTGTTGAATTTGTGTTAAAGTGCTAAATGTGTTGTAAGGTGTTGAATTTGTTGTAAGGTGTTGAATTTTTTGTAAAGTGCTAAATGTGTTGTAAGGTGTTGAATTTGTTGTAAAGTGCTAAATGTGTTGTAAGGTGTTGAATGTGTTGTAAAGTGCTAAATGTGTTGTAAAGTGCTAAATGTGTTGTAAGGTGTTGAATTTTTCTAAGGTGCTGAATGTGTTGTAAGGTGTTGAATTTGTTGTAAAGTGCTAAATGTGTTGTAAGGTGTTGAATTTGTTGTAAGGTGCTAAATGTGTTGTAAGGTGTTGAATTTGTTGTAAGGTGCTAAATGTGTTGTAAGGTGCTGAATGTGTTGTAAGGTGCTAAATGTGTTGTAAGGTGTTGAATTTGTTGTAAAGTGCTAAATGTGTTGTAAGGTGTTGAATTTGTTGTAAAGTGCTAAATGTGTTGTAAGGTGCTGTAAGTGTTGTAAGATGTTGTAATGTATTGTATCTGTGGTAATGAATTGTTAGTGTGGTAATGTGTTGTATGGGGAGTAATCTGTTGTACTGGTCCAATGTAAGTCAATGGAAAAAAGTGCTTGAACTTTTGTTAATATCTGAAAAAGTGCTAAAGGTGGAAGTGTAAAAAGTAATAGCAATAATGAGACGGTGAAGCCGGTCGTAACGATGTATAATTTGTTGAATTTGGTGAAAGCGTTGAGGAGTTGAAAAGTGCCAAAATCTGGCGGAAGTGGAAGAAGAAGAAGAAGAAGAAGAAGAAGAACTAGAAATGGTACAATGGCTGAAGCCATTGTGAGTGGCTGCATAGATGTTGGAAGGGTTAGGGATGAAGAAGGAAGAGGAAGGGGAAGAAGAAGGAAGAAGAAAGAAAAGGGAAGAAGAGGAAAGAAGAAGAAGGAAGAGGAGGAGGAAGAAGAAGAAGGGGAAGAAGAAGAAGAAGGGGAAGAAGAAGAAGAAGAAGAAGAAGAGGAAGAAGGAGGAAGAAGAGGAAGAAGAGGAAGAAGAGGAAGAAGGGGAAGAAGAGGAAGAAGGGGAAGAAGAGGAAGAAGTGAAGAAGATGAAGTAAGAAGAATGTGTTGTAAGGGGCTGAAAGTGTTGTAAAGTGCTGAATGTGTTGTAAGGTGTTGTAAAGTGCTAAATGTGTTGTAAAGTGCTGAATGTGTTGTAAAGTGCTGAATTTGTTGTAAAGTGCTGAATGTGTTGTAAAGTGCTAAATAAGTTGTAAAGTGCTGAATGTGTATTCAAGTGCTAAATGTGTTGTAAAGTGCTAAATGTGTTGTAAGGTGTTGAATTTGTTGTAAAGTGCTAAATGTGTTGTAAGGTATTGAATGTCTTGTAAAGTGCTAAATGTGTTGTAAAGTGCTTAATGTGTTGTAAAGTGCTAAATGTGTTGTAAAGTGCTGAATGTGTTGTAAAGTGCTGAATGTGTTGTAAAGTGCTAAATGTGTTGTAAAGTGCTAAATTTGTTGTAAGGTAGTGAATTTGTTATAAAGTGCTAAATGTGTTGTAAGGTATTGAATTTTTTGTAAGGTATTGAATGTTTTGTAAAGTGCTAAATGTGTTGTAAAGTGCTAAATGTGTTGTAAAGTGATGAATGTGTTGTAAGGTGTTGAATGTGTTGTAAAGTGCTAAATGTGTTGTAAGGTGTTGAATTTGTTGTAAAGTGCTAAATGTTTTATAAGGTGTTGAATGTGTTGTAAAGTGCTAAATGTGTTGTAAGGTGTTGAATTTGTTGTAAGGTGCTGAATGTGTAGTAAGGTGTTGAATTTGTTGTAAAGTGCTAAATGTGTTGAATTTTTGTTAAAGTGCTAAATGTGTTGTAAGGTATTGAATGTGTTGTAAAGTGCTAAATGTGTTGTAAGATGTTGAATGTGTTGTAAGGTGCTAAATGTGTTGTAAGGTGTTGAATTTGTTGTAAGGTGTTGAATTTGTTGTAAGGTGCTGAATGTGTTGTAAGGTGTTGAATTTGTTGTAAAGTGCTAAATGTGTTGTAAGGTGTTGAATTTGTTGTAAAGTGCTAAATGTGTTGTAAGGTGTTGAATTTGTTGTAAAGTGCTAAATGTGTTGTAAGATGTTGTAATGTATTGTATCTGTGGTAATGAATTGTTAGTGTGGTAATGTGTTGTATGGGGAGTAATCTGTTGTACTGGTCCAATGTAAGTCTATGGGAAAAAGTGCTTGAACTTTTGTTAATATCTGAAAAAGTGCTAAAGGTGGAAGTGTGAAAAGTAATAGCAATAATGAGACGGTGAAGCCGGTCGTAACGATGTATAATTTGTTGAATTTGGTGAAAGCGTTGAAGAGTTGAAAAGTGCCAAAATCTGGCGGAGTGGAAGAAGAAGAAAAAAGTAGAGAGCATATAGTGGCTGCATAGTCTATGCAGCCAAACAGTAGGAGAGCATATAGTGGCTGCATAGTCTATGCAGCCACTCAACTAGAAATGGTACAATGGCTGAAGCCATTGTGAGTGGCTGCATAGATGTTGGAAGGGTTAGGGATGAAGAAGGAAGAGAAGGAAGAAGGAGAAGAAAGAAAGAAGAAAGAAAGAAGAAGAAGGAGGAGGAGGAGGAAGAAGAAGGGGAAGAAGAAGAAGAAGAAGAAGGGGAAGAAGAGAGAAGAAGGGGAAGAAGAGGAAGAAGAGGAAGAAGGGGAAGAAGGGGAAGAAGAGGAAGAAGAAGAAGAAGAAGGGGAAGAAGAGGAAGAAGGGGAAGAAGAGGAAGAAGTGAAGAAGATGAAGTAAGAAGAATGTGTTGTAAGGGGCTGAAAGTGTTGTAAAGTGCTGAATGTGTTGTAAAGTGATAAATGTGTTGTAAAGTGCTGAATGTGTTGTAAAGTGCTGAATGTGTTGTAAAGTGATAAATGTGTTGTAAAGAGCTGAATGTGTATTAAAGTGCTAAATGTGTTGTAAAGTGCTAAATGTGTTGTAAGGTGTTGAATGTGTTGTAAAGTGCTAAATGTGTTGTAAGGTGTTGAATGTGTTGTAAGGTGCTAAATGTGTTGTAAGGTGTTGAATTTGTTGTAAGGTGCTGAATGTGTTGTAAGGTGTTGAATTTGTTGTAAAGTGCTAAATGTGTTGTAAGGTGTTGAATTTGTTGTAAAGTGCTAAATGTGTTGTAAGGTGTTGAATTTGTTGTAAAGTGCTAAATGTGTTGTAAGGTGTTGAATTTGTTGTAAAGTGCTAAATGTGTTGTAAGGTGTTGAATTTGTTGTAAAGTGCTAAATGTGTTGTAAGGTGTTGAATTTGTTGTAAAGTGCTAAATGTGTTGTAATGTGTTGAATTTGTTGTAAAGTGCTAAATGTGTTGTAAGGTGTTGAATTTGTTGTAAAGTGCTAAATGTGTTGTAAGGTGTTGAATTTGTTGTAAAGTGCTAAATGTGTTGTAAGGTGTTGAATTTGTTGTAAGGTGCTAAATGTGTTGTAAGGTGTTGAATGTGTTGTAAAGTGCTAGGTGCTGAATGTGTTGTAAGGTGTTGAATTTGTTGTAAAGTGCTAAATGTGTTGTAAAGTGCTAAATGTGTTGTAAGGTGTTGAATTTGTTGTAAAGTGCTAAATGTGTTGTAAGGTGTTGAATTTGTTGTAAAGTGCTAAATGTGTTGTAAGGTGTTGAATTTGTTGTAAAGTGCTAAATGTGTTGTAAGGTGTTGAATTTGTTGTAAAGTGCTAAATGTGTTGTAAGGTGTTGAATTTGTTGTAAAGTGCTAAATGTGTTGTAAGGTGTTGAATTTGTTGTAAGGTGCTGAATGTGTTGTAAGGTGTTGAATTTGTTGTAAAGTGCTAAATGTGTTGTAAGGTGTTGAATTTGTTGTAAGGTGCTAAATGTGTTGTAAGGTGTTGAATTTGTTGTAAAGTGCTAAATGTGTTGTAAGGTGCTATAAGTGTTGTAAGATGTTGCAATGTATTTTATCTGTGGTAATGAATTGTTAGTGTGGTAATGTGTTGTATGGGGAGTAATCTGTTGTACTGGTCCAATGTAAGTCAATGGGAAAAAGTGCTTGAACTTTTGTTAATATCTGAAAAAGTGCTAAAGGTGGAAGTGTGAAAAGTAATAGCAATAATGAGACGGTGAAGCCGGTCGTAACGATGTATAATTTGTTGAATTTGGTGAAAGCGTTGAAGAGTTGAAAAGTGCCAAAATCTGGCGGAAGTGAAGAAGAAGAAGAAGAAGAAGAAGAAGAAGAAGAAGAAGAAGAACTAGAAATGGTACAATGGCTGAAGCCATTGTGAGTGGCTGCATAGATGTTGGAAGGGTTAGGGATGAAGAAGGAAGAAGAAGGGGAAGAAGAAGGAAGAAGAAGAAAGAAAAGGGAAGAAGAGGAAAGAAGAAGGAGGAAGAGGAGGAGGAAGAAGAAGGGAAAGAAGGGGAAGAAGAAGGGGAAGAAGGGGGGGAAGAAGAGGAAGAAGGGGAAGAAGGGGAAGAAGGGGAAGAAGAGGAAGAAAGGAAGAAGAAGAAGAGGAAGAGGAAGAAGAGGAAGAAGAGAAAGAAGGGGAAGAAGAGGAAGAAGTGAATAAGATGCAGTAAGAAGAATGTGTTGTAAGGGGCTGAAAGTGTTGTAAAGTGCTAAATGTGTTGTAAAGTGCTGAATGTGTTGTAAAGTGCTGAATGTGTTGTAAAGTGCTGAATGTGTTGTAAAGTGCTGAATGTGTTGTAAAGTGCTGAATGTGTTGTAAAGTGCTGAATGTGTTGTAAAGTGCTGAATGTGTTGTAAAGTGCTGAATGTGTTGTAAAGTGCTGTAAGTGTTGTAAGGTGCTGTAAGTGTTGTAAGATGTTGTAATGTATTGTATCTGTGGTAATGAATTGTTAGTGTGGTAATGTGTTGTAAGGGGAGTAATCTGTTGTACTGGTCCAATGTAAGTCAATGGGAAAAAGTGCTTGAACTTTTGTTAATATCTGAAAAAGTGCTAGAGGTGGAAGTGTGAAAAGTAATAGCAATAATGAGACGGTGAAGCCGGTCGTAACGATGTATAATTTGTTGAATTTGGTGAAAGCGTTGAAGAGTTGAAAAGTGCCAAAATCTGGCGGAAGTGGAAGAAGAAGAACTAGAAATGGTACAATGGCTGAAGCCATTGTGAGTGGCTGCATAGATGTTGGAAGGGTTAGGGATGAAGAAGGAAGAAGAAGGGGAAGAAGAAGGAAGAAGAAGAAAGAAAAGGGAAGAAGAGGAAAGAAGAAGGAGGAAGAGGAGGAGGAAGAAGAAGGGAAAGAAGGGGAAGAAGAAGGGGAAGAAGGGGGGGAAGAAGAGGAAGAAGGGGAAGAAGGGGAAGAAGGGGAAGAAGAGGAAGAAGAGGAAGAAGAAGAAGGGGGGGAAGAAGAGGAAGAAGAGAAAGAAGGGGAAGAAGAGGAAGAAGTGAATAAGATGCAGTAAGAAGAATGTGTTGTAAGGGGCTGAAAGTGTTGTAAAGTGCTAAATGTGTTGTAAAGTGCTGAATGTGTTGTAAAGTGCTGAATGTGTTGTAAAGTGCTGAATGTGTTGTAAAGTGCTGAATGTGTTGTAAAGTGCTGAATGTGTTGTAAAGTGCTGAATGTGTTGTAAAGTGCTGAATGTGTTGTAAAGTGCTGAATGTGTTGTAAAGTGCTGAATGTGTTGTAAAGTGCTGTAAGTGTTGTAAGGTGCTGTAAGTGTTGTAAGATGTTGTAATGTATTGTATCTGTGGTAATGAATTGTTAGTGTGGTAATGTGTTGTATGGGGAGTAATCTGTTGTACTGGTCCAATGTAAGTCAATGGGAAAAAGTGCTTGAACTTTTGTTAATATCTGAAAAAGTGCTAGAGGTGGAAGTGTGAAAAGTAATAGCAATAATGAGACGGTGAAGCCGGTCGTAACGATGTATAATTTGTTGAATTTGGTGAAAGCGTTGAAGAGTTGAAAAGTGCCAAAATCTGGCGGAAGTGGAAGAAGAAGAATAAACAGTAGGAGAGCATATAGTGGCTGCATAGTCTATGCAGCCACTCAACTAGAAATGGTACAATGGCTGAAGCCATTGTGAGTGGCTGCATAGATGTTGGAAGGGTTAGGGATGAAGAAGGAAGAGGAAGGGGAAGAAGAAGGAAGAAGAAAGAAAAGGGAAGAAGAGGAAAGAAGAAGAAGGAAGAGGAGGAGGAAGAAGAAGAAGGGGAAGAAGAGGAAGAAGAGGAAGAAGGGGAAGAAGAGGAAGAAGGGGAAGAAGAGGAAGAAGGGGAAGAAGAGGAAGAAGAGGAAGAAGGGGAAGAAGAGGAAGAAGGGAAAGAAGAGGAAGAAGGGGAAGAAGAGGAAGAAGAGGAAGAAGAGGAAGAAGAGGAAGAAGGGGAAGAAGAGGAAGAAGTGAATAAGATGAAGTAAGAAGAATGTGTTGTAAGGGGCTGAAAGTGTTGTAAAGTGCTGAATGTGTTGTAAGGTGTTGTAAAGTGCTGAATGTGTTGTAAGGTGTTGAATGTGTTGTAAAGTGCTAAATCTGTTGTAAGGTGTTGAATTTGTTGTAAGGTGCTGAATGTGTTGTAAGGTGTTGAATTTGTGTTAAAGTCTTAAATGTGTTGAATTTGTTGTAAAGTGCTAAATGTGTTGAATTTGTGTTAAAGTGCTAAATGTGTTGTAAGGTGTTGAATTTGTTGTAAAGTGCTAAATGTGTTGTAAGGTGTTGAATTTGTTGTAAAGTGCTAAATGTGTTGTAAGGTGTTGAATTTGTTGTAAAGTGCTAAATGTGTTGTAAGGTGTTGAATTTTTTGTAAAGTGTTGAATTTGTTGTAAAGTGCTAAATGTGTTGTAAAGTGCTAAATGTTTTGTAAGGTGTTGAATGTGTTGTAAAGTGCTAAATGTGTTGTAAGGTGCTGTAAGTGTTGTAAAGTGCTGTAAGTGTTGTAAGGTGCTGTAAGTGTTGTAAGGTGCTGTAAGTGTTGTAAGGTGCTGTAAGTGTTGTAAGGTGCTGTAAGTGTTGTAAGATGTTGTAATGTATTGTATGTGTGGTAATGAATTGTTAGTGTGGTAATGTGTTGTATGGGGAGTAATCTGTTGTACTGGTCCAATGTAAGTCTATGGGAAAAAGTGCTTGAACTTGTGTAAATATCTGAAAAAGTGCTAAAGGTGGAAGTGTGAAAAGTAATAGCAATAATGAGACGGTGAAGCCGGTCGTAACGATGTATAATTTGTTGAATTTGGTGAAAGCGTTGAAGAGTTGAAAAGTGCCAAAATCTGGCGGAAGTGGAAGAAGAATAAACAGTAGGAGAGCATATAGTGGCTGCATAGTCTATGCAGCCACTCAATAAACAGTAGGAGAGCATATAGTGGCTGCATAGTCTATGCAGCCACTCAATAAACAGTAGGAGAGCATATAGTGGCTGCATAGTCTATGCAGCCACTCAATAAACAGTAGGAGAGCATATAGTGGCTGCATAGTCTATGCAGCCACTCAATAAACAGTAGGAGAGCATATAGTGGCTGCATAGTCTATGCAGCCACTCAATAAACAGTAGGAGAGCATATAGTGGCTGCATAGTCTATGCAGCCACTCAATTAGAAATATGCCTTGACTCAAGCTGCAGCCGAGCTTTGGAGTCAAAAAATAGTGTAGCCTAGATTAAAGCCTAGATCAATGAGATAGATTACATTTAAAAGCATTTTGATGTATTTGGGTGTAGCCCAAAAACACAATAGTAGATATTTAGATATTGAGAAGTTTCCAGCACAAACACCATTGTAGAATAACTGACCCCAACCCCAAACCTGCTAAAATAGATTAGCTCTTGTAAGGATAATACTAATTTGATTATTGATCAAACTGTCTGAGAGGAGGAAGTGACAGCACTTCCTGGTTCAACAAATATTTGGAAAACTGGCCATAATAATGTTCAATTTAACCATTTGCCTTACTGTGTTCACAGTTTTATTCCTGAGAATGAGAATAGACATAGAGCAAAATCCCACTGATAATAAGCCACTGATAATGAGAGTATAATACCACAGAGAGATTAAAATGTATGTTTAAGAATATGGCTCAATAGAAGCAAATATGCAAACATATTTGTAAATAGATTAGAATAGTTTTAAACTATAGTGAATCATAAAAGTAAAGTACACAGTCTAAGATTGAAAAGTGAAAATAATACAGTGAAATAAGTGAAGTGTAAACAATTAGCATTAGAATAAAAGCATAGAGTAATAAAAGTGAAATTAGCTTCTAATTTGAGACTCAGCTCGTTTTTGTCTGTGTTTTGACTGAATCTGCTGAGTTCTTGTGTGTCCAATAGTGTTTGTTTGTTTTTATTTTTGATTTATTTTTGTTTGTTTATTTTTTCCCAGTATAGAGGATAGAATCCACTGATATTGATTTGATGATTATGAGTTTAATGCATACATTTTCTTTGTTTTTAATATTTTTTTAAAGTTTTTTTTTTGGGATTTTTTTTTTTTTTCTTTTTCCACTTTATTGATTGATCAAATTGAGTGATCACATGTGATTATGTGATCAAAGGGGAGGGTATTAGTATTAGATAGCAATATGGCCTACGTGCAGGACTCTACAAGGACTCTACAAGGACTCCATGTTATGACTATGATTTGACTGTCTCTTTGTGACACGTATGTCTTTCGATGTGTGACGTGACAATGACTATATAAACTGTGTACTGCCTTTATTCTGTCTGAGAGAAAGAAACAGAGGAAACCAGTGGAACTTGAGAGAAACTTAAATAAACTTCCAGAGTTTGGCACACCACGATCCGTCTCTGTCTGTTGAATCCTGACACAGGTATTATTTGTTTGAAGCCTCCAAACACCTTTAGTTTTAGCAAACAACAGCTGGACACGCTTTGTCGCTGCGTGACGTAAGCTGCGTAACTTGATTTTGATTGACGCTGTCAATGACTGGACAAAATTACAAACGTAATTTAAATATTTTATATTCTCCTAACACAATTTAACAAGTAGTCCTTTTGAATCAAATCAAATGCTAAATCAATATTTAAGGGCTATTAATTAATTTTTTTTTTTTTTGGAAATCATCTTACTATCCTGAAGTGAGACACTCACATTGTGACAATCTGCCAAATATTGTCTTTTTGAAATGCTGTGAGTCTGTTTCTGACATATTTAATTATACTTCAATAATAAAAAAAATATTTGATTTTAAAAATAATAAACATGTGATAACACTACTCTGAAATATGTCCCATGTGTGTGTCCTTTTCCTCATTCAGATTCAGATTCAGATTTATTTTATTAGCCATGTGCAGTATACAAACTACATTGGAATACATTTGCAAAGAAAGGTACTCTGTGTGCACCGACAGAATAAAGAACACAATACAATGTAATATAAAATACACATACACTGAATATAAAATAATAAAAAAAACAGCTGACACTGTGGCACCGATCAACAAAACGATACAAGGGGTAAAAGCAGGAATTAAAGTGCTCTGTTTAGGCACCTAACAGCTTGTGGAAAGAAGCTGTTAGCATAGCGAGATGTCTTGCATCTCAGCGACCGATATCTTCTGCCAGAGGGAAGAAGCTGGAACATGGCTTTCCCAGGGTGGCCAGAAGAGTCATTAACAATCCTAAGAGCTCTGTTTAAAAGTCTGGATTTATAAAGAACCTCCAGAACAGGAAGCTCACAGCCCACGGTCCTCTTTGCAGAGCGGAGCACCTTGTTTAAAGCTCTCTTTTCTTTATCTGTGATGTTACCAAACCACACAGACACAGAACCAATAAGTAAACTCTCAGTGGTGCAGCGATAAAAGTTAAGCAGAATCTTAGAGTTAGTGGTAAATTCTCTAAGTTTCCGCAAAAAGAAGAGCCACTGACGTGCTTTCTTAACGACCCGGTTAGTATTTTTGTCCCATTTCAGGTCGTTAGACAGAGTTAAACCCAGGAACTTGCACTCCTCTACGATCTGCACCTGGGAGTTGTCGATAACTACAGGAGTGTGAGAACTGCTATGACTGAAGTCAAAGACAAGTTCACATGTTTTTGCAGTGTTCAGCTGGAGATTGTTTACTTTACTCCACTGAAAAATATGTTCGATCTCTGCTCTATAAGAGGATTCATCATTGTCACTGATGAGACCGATGATGGTGGTGTCATCAGCATATTTGATGATCAAGTTAGAGTCAGAGGAGGACACACAATCGTGAGTGTACAAAGTAAAAAGCAAAGGACTCAAAATACATCCCTGAGGAGAACCAGTGCTCACAGGAACAACATCAGAAAGACAGTCATTGATTTTTACTCTCTGAGATCTGTCAGTTAAAAAGCTAAAAATCCATTTACACATGGCAACATTCAGATCAAGGGACATTAGTTTTTCAACCAATATGCTTGGGACAAGACAATTAAAAGCAGAGCTATAATCAATGAACAGCATTCTCGCGACAGATTTACTAGTGTCCAAATGAGTGTAGACAGAGTTCAGAGCAAAGGAGATGGCATCCTCCACACTCCTGTTCTGTCTGTAAGCAAACTGGAGCGGGTCAACACTCACAGGGATCTGGCTCTTAATGAAGTCCAGCACGAGCCGCTCAAAAGTCTTCATAAGAACAGACGTGAGAGCCACAGGGCGGTAGTCATTGAGACATGTCACTGGAGACTTCTTAGGAACTGGAATAATGGTGGACCTTTTAAAGCTCACCGGCACCGTACAGCTCCTGAGTGACAAGTTAAAGATGTCCGTTAAAACAGGGGAAAGTTGCTCGGAGCACAGTTTCAGGACGCGGGGAGGAATGCAGTCCGGGCCTGCGGCTTTCCGAGCTGTGGTCCTGGACAAGACCCGCCGTACTTCATCCTGAGTCACTGTGAAGGCACCCTGACATTCGGGGAAGACAAAAGGCAGGGGATCAGCAGATTCAAAGCGGCAGTAAAAGTCGTTGAGCTCATTTGGCAGAGTTTGGCCAGCAGCAATTTTCCCTGCACTTGGTTTCCAGGACGTGATAAGACTGATCCCCTTCCACATGCGTCGAGGGTCCTCTTCGCCAAAGAAGCCCTCTATCCTGTCCCCATAGGAACGCTTAGCAGCTTTTATAGAGCGTTCCACAGCGTAGCAGGACAGCTTGTAGGCACCCTCATCACCGGATTGAAACGCCAGTGTCCGCTCATTAATTCTCAATTTTACGTCAGTGTTCATCCAAGGTTTTTGGCCGGAGTGTTCTTTGATAACTTTATAGGGGACACAACAGTCAATGCAAAATTGTATGTATCCTGTCACAGCCTCACAGAATTCATCAACATTCTCAGAGTTAAAAACAGACCAGTCTGTGGCATCAAAGCAGCCCTGCAGCTTCATGTTAGCCTCCTCAGACCAGCACTGCACAGTGCGGGAAGTAGGTTTGTGCTGTT